TTGCCCCCTAGCCAACTCGCCCCCTAGCCAACTCGCCCCCTGACCGACTTGCCCCCTTACCGACTCGCCCCCTGACCAATTCACCTCCTGACCGACTCGCCACCCTAGCCAACTTGCCCCCTAAGTTTGCCAAGCACGTATGGCCGGCCCATTCACCATTTAATAAAAAATACAATCAGTCAGAGATGGAATCGGTGATTGCTGCCCTTAAAAATAGGTTCTGGGGTTTGCAACGGGCACTCAAAGTTGAGTTTGTTTAAAGCTTGGTGGATATTCCCTTTCTGTGGAATTTGGAGAGTAACAACTTTTTTTTTCATATTGGTAAAACTAATTCAGTATTATCGTGTGTATGGGCCATGGCGCAGCATTTCCTGTGTATTGTCTATGGGATTTTGTGCGCCACAACACCAACACTCTACCATATTAATTAACTCTGCGGACTATTTCGGATAAAAAACGGTACATATTAGGCATAATGCCCGGCGACGCAAACCTACGGAAGTGTTAAGGAGACATAATTTATGACAAAGGGTGTAACGGTCGCTACACACTTTCAGGTTCCGATAACTTCACAGGATGCAATTATTAGTTCACAATTAACACTAAATACTGATTTATTCGGCGAGTACAGTCATCAAGGATCACATTGTTGATCGGCCATATTGAATTATATCCAAGCATGCACTGTCGGTGTCATGACGTCATGGAAAAATAGTCATGCCATCTGGTGCCCGTTACTTGTAAACAAATTAAGAGCACTCTCAAAGATATTCAATTCCAAAAAAGGAATAAAAATTACGCAAATAAAAAAAATTAATAATGGGACGTTAAAAATTGACATTAGTGTACAATGTACAACTATGACTTTATACGTCACACAAAAAGCGTATATCCAAGAACCTAAATCAATTTTCGCAGTATATGTGAGGTCCCAGTCGAGTGAATGAGCAACAGAACACTATAACTAACTAGTAATTGGATATCGGGTCACTACAAGAAGACACAGTTGTTGATCCTGAGGGTATGATGGATGTACAAATAACCATGGAGGTTGATTCTACCTCCATGAAAAAACCTAATCAGACAGTGGACGTAGGAAGCGTTTGAATAAATAAGTGATTAGTGGTGATGTCCAAATATCCATTACCGTCCGTGAGTCATTCGTGTTGCTTCGTTGGTTAGAACCATTGTTTTTTTTTAATACATTGGGCCAGCATTATTTGCTTGACGTTCCTAGGGGGCGAGTCGGTCAGGGGGCGAGTCGGCCAGGGGGTGAGTAGGTCAGGGGGAGAGTCGGCCAGGAGGCGAGTTGACCTGAAAATGAAAAACTCAATTGTGCATTCATAGTGTTTGCAGAAGAAATACCAGAACAACGTGAGTGAAATCATTCAATAAATGGCTCTAAGAAAACGGAAAGGCTAAGGGTCATCTCTGTTTGCAAAAGAAATTGCGCCCACAATGATAAGTGGGTGCGCCGAAAATGTTCAGCACGCCGACACGAAATTGCGTATCCTACAGGTATGTGTGGCTAAGGATGGATCGGGAGTGAGTGAGATCCGTGCCACACTCGTGCTGCCATGCCCAACGCGGTGGACGAAAAAACAGCTTATTTCTGACGAAATGTCACCCCAGAAGTCCGGTAAGTATAATCATTCACTACTTAACAATGTGTCCTGGATATCCAATTCAGTAATTTACCGGTGCCACCATGTTGGCATGTGGCCCGAGGAACACGAACACACATAGCAGTACTTCATGCATGATGCACGTCACACACTACATTCAGCAATGCTGGGAAAAGTGTACGGCGCCCTCATGTGATAGGTGGAGATGTGACGCCTTCCTCAAAGTTGATTTGCATATACATCCCCATTGGTCAAATCTTTGAGGGTTCATTTCAGTTGTAATTCTGCTAATCAGCAGATTTTATCTCAGGTCCAAACAACCTGCGATATCCTATTTGATTAATCTCCCAAACAATAGAAACGAAAATTCTGTGTCTAAAAATACTTGGACCGGTCAGAACCGTGGGAAAGTTCCCCTAAAACAATGAATTGGGTTAGCAAGTAGGGTAACACTGTGACGTCCATCATTGCGTACCGCAGATTGTTCCGTTCAGGTTGCATAACGTTGGAAAATATCCTTGGAACAAAGGGAGCAGAACAGGAAAAGCAAGATAACCCACAAGAAATGTACATTACCGACACTCATCATCAAAGCTCAGTGGCCCATCAGAAGTTGCAGAAACCTTCCCAGATTCTGGCAGTTGTGCACACACAACCAGCACAGGTAGCATACACTTAACCTATCCCAGTGGCATGACTTATACGACTTTTCAAGATTAGTGTCGACTTATTTACTTGATAGTGAAGACGCCAGTGCCTGAACTGTTCAACTTGGGGTGGCTGAATGGGAATGTCTTGATAAATGGGACACCAAGACTCAGCCTGATTCTCATTAAGTTACTAAATTTGTTCCAACCTGGTATCCCAGATAAAAGTACCTAATTATCCAATTATCTGTGTGCCTTCCCTCATGGCTGAGCGTAGATATTTAAAGTAAGTACCTTTTATAGATGATTGTAGGATTTTTTTATGCAAGGTTTATCACAGGTACATAAGTTTCTCAGATTTCACTATGTTACTTGTAAATGGGTGCAAATTTTGTAAAGAGTTTGTTTCACAGAAAAAGGATAATTCCTTTGCCCTTTAATCAATATTGCAAATTGATGTAGAGTAGTTGTCATTTCTGCCAATACTCATTTAAGTTGGTTTTTTGGATGGGTGATACTAGAGCAATTCCAGAACTTCTTAGACAAGAGGCACATGCAAATCTTATATATGTAACTAAGGTTTCCAGTATTGATTACAGTGGTTTTCTTCTAGACCAACTGATATACATTAAAGCTACATGTCTACGCGGCTTTACATTTCTTTTCCTTACACGTTTCTTCAGTGAACTGCCCCATTTATTCATTAAAGGGTTACAATTGACACATGATTTGGGGCGGAGAGAACCCCCTGCCTTTGTGTTGGTGATTGATTGGAATCTCAGGAATTCTTTACCGACTTCTATTTTCCTAGACATGTACTCCACCTTTTTCCTGCCGTCATTTTTACATGATGATGCTAAGGTTTGCTTGAGTGTCTTTGTGTGTCTCGGGGGGTACCAAAGTCAAACAAATAGCAAGCACGACAACGAAAATTGTATCATAAATATAAATTTAGTTTTTATTACAAACTTTGTCTTATTATTAGTACCATACTAAACAGTTTATGCACTGTCAAAGCAACATTATGTCACTTCAAAAATTGTGGAAAATTACAACAAAAGTAGGTGAAATTCAATTCAAAAGCAATGACAAAGTATTGCTATGAAAATAAATTTAGCTTTTCAACTACTTGCAAATCAAAATGAACATACCAGCATATTCATATGTGAAGTGCATGAATTTTCTACTGACATATATCAAATTTCTTGAAAGTGACAATTGACCTGTTACCGATATTGAATATGACAGCATTTTTCCATTTGAATACTTTCTACGAATAAGGTATTTATACAATTTTAGTTGGCAAGAAAGAAGTTGAAAAATCCAGTGCTTTTTAAGTCACTTCCATGACACTAACTCAACACAATTTACTCAACTCAAATAATTCAAACTACACGTAGATAACAAAATCCAATGGCAATGCTAAATACAAGATGTCAGCTATTACCGTGCATTTAGCATGAGGAACAGCTACTCAGCATTTTACCCCTTTGTACTTTCTTTCACATATTTTCAGTCATATTACCAAAGCACAAAGGCATGCTGAAATGTCGCTACGAGACTGCCAGTTATTGGTAAAGGTACCCATTCTTTATACAACAAACACCATAAACATTCCAACAAAACAATCCAGGCAGTTTCCTTACAACTGGTTTCGTATGTGCAACTTCTTTCTTTAATAAACCTCAACTTTATCTTTTTTTTGGGGGGGGGGAGGAATTCCAAGGAAATACTAAAGAGAGATTACCTGGGAAATCCACAAACTGTAATTTCCTTTGAGTAAACGACGTTTGAATCAAATAAAAGAAAGCCAGATATGAGGACAGCAGATGGCTACTGAAAATATTTCCATCATTAGTGCGAAATTGCAATCTCCAACCCTTACAGTATGAAAAAACCTCTGGAAGCCATCTCTAGGCTGTGTCTAAGGCACATGGTCAGCCATACCAACATCTTTGGCCTAGTTCTCCTACTACATGTATTTATCAATGTTACAGGGTCTATGTGATCCAAGTTTTTTCCTTCAAATGCAACCTTTGTGTTTCATTTAAGCTTATGTTGTTAATTTTTGTTTGGCAATGTTGAATACATTATTGGTGACTTTTTGGTTTTTATTTTAATGCAAATTTTCATATTCTTCAGAAACACTGTGATGTCATTCGAGGAAAAACCCTCAATGTTGCATTGATTTTTGCACAACAAAATGAACAAGAAAATAACTGCTGGAATTTTTACATTATTCTTGAGGCTATAAATTGCCATTTCCTTGGCAACTTCTTGTTTGCACACATGGCATTACGCCAATAAGCTACTGTTTCTCAGTTTTCAATGATCAAATGTCTGGGTTCACATTCAAACAGAAAACCTGTACACTGAGCAGTGCCTTTCCCAAATGGCATCACAGTAGCAGTGCCCTCTGTTGTCTGAATAATATGGTTGTCTTAAACAAATATTTTAAGTGCTCTCTTCAGCCCTAAAGAATATCAGTTTTCAATCACTGAAACAGCGTACCAACTTGCACAAAAAAGTTTGTCTAAGAAAATTTCATCGCCTGGACCCTTAACGCACATACCAGCATGTCTTCATTCAACGACATCCCTACTTGATTTAAAAGAGCATATTTTGCTCTAACAGCTTGGAAAATTTCTGCCAATTTTTTGTAATTAGCTTACGACCTTAAGTCCCAAAATGTTAAGGGTTCAAGGCAACGCTATGAAAATAAATACACAATGCCAGGCTCAAATGCCTTGCAAAATCATGTACATAAATATGGTTTACTACACGTAGTCTATGTATATGTCTTTTTGTAAATAAAACATGAATAAACTGCATAAACTTAGTATAAAGCAACTGCAAGAAGTACTTCCAAACTTATGAGATTGTCTCCGTCTTTTTTGAACATCATTACTTTGGGGAACCTTCAGACCATCAAACAAGTTATATTTGGCAAACATGATTTGAATAATCTTCATTTCCCTAAATTAGATTTTTTTATTGCAAACACATGTCAAGGAAAAATAGCCCAGTAGTAAATGCAAACAGGATTTTTTCTTTCAAAAATAAAGATCTTTTCATGTTCCATTTCCTTCCAGTCAGATATTTCCCGAAACCATGGCCTAGAAGGACCACTGACAGGTCTGAAGCCATTTTTTCATTACACTACAATTTTCACCCAGAAAACGGGACCAGGGTTTAATATTACTTTGGGAAGACATACCCATCAACTAAAATTCACATAATAGCAGGAGCAAAGAGAAAACTGATTTCCTTCTCTTGGCCAGAGTATTGGTAGGCTACATAACTGTGCACGCAAGACTTTGTACTGCACATCAAGCTTGCTTACGTAGACACGAAACACTGGTTCAAAAAAACTTGGTGAATACAATGCCACTGATGGCTAATTCTCTGGTAAGTATCCGCCATGGGGGGCACGTGCCTCCCTACAAATTTCCAGTGGGCCCCCCCCACTAAAAAAAAGATGAATGGACATTATGGAAGTAGTCATATTTGCACACCAACAAAAAGGGAGATACGTTTCTCAGTCATATAATTCAAACATATTAACAGCTTACTAAAAGCACCTGAATTTTGTGAAAAGCACCAGCAAGAAAATTTACACATTGCTGAAGTCGAACTAGGTACTGGCATGTACAATCTAATTGTAACCTCAGTCCAAGAAGTACTTTGACATGCGTGATTACAGAGCTGAATCCATCACTAACAGCCAATATCACTATTGGCCTTTCAAGGAAAGAAGTTCAACGGTGCACTTTTTTTAAGATCAATTCCTTTCACGGCTTGAATCCTGCAATTTTCCATTTACAAATGGAGAAGTGCTTGCTTTTTTGGTTCTGGGTTTGTGTGCTACACTCTGCCATTTTCAGCCAGAATCCCTGAAACTCCACCTTATTCCAAACCCAAATCCTCAGCATTTCCACTGCCTCTCTTAGTTCATTCATAGCATCGAGGCATTCTTCCAAGCAAAATCAAAAGAGACTTCCAGTTTTCCACTTGCACAGAATCAATGGAGGTGAAGCATCTTGCTCATGGACAGAGGACTCAAAGGCCTCCAGCAGGATTTCAACCTCAAACCTTTAATTCATGTTGCAAGATCTTGAGACCTAACAAATGAATCAAGGGCGACCTGCTGCAGTAATCATTTCCTCCAGCTCTTTAGCAGTCAGTTTGAATAACTTTTAAGAAAATATGAACCTACAAAACTTTCATAAAATACAATGTATATCTGCATTTGTCAAACCTGTTGGGGACGGCTTCCTAGAGTTCCTCAAAGAATGCCACCCTTGCCTTTGTTGTGCCAGATTTGATCTGTGGTGAAAAAAAAAGGACGGAGATTGATTTTTTAAAGAATATTACAACACAGCGGTGTTGAACAAACACTGCTAGAAGTACTTCACATTTATGAAAAAATAAATTTTCCCCAACTTCCTTTGGTTGCTCAGCTTCTGAGCACAACAAATCCAACTTCAGTACCAATACTCATCTTCCCTGCCACAAAGAACTGGGCAAGTTGACTTACGTGCGGCCAATAAAACTGGCTCCAACTGTCATGTTATATGAAATTCTTCTTTCAAAAAATTGTCATTCTGTATTTCCAAAGAAAATATACCATGTCCTGCGTGGACAAGACATTCTCACTTCTCATTTTAAACCTCCAATCTTTTAGGCCAGTCTTCTTATATCAGGATACTGTTGAATTTCAACCAATGAAAGCATGTGTCTATAAAATAAATGCAGTTTTTAGAACTTGTCTCGTTTTCCATGTTTTAGTGACTTATCAAAACCCTCCTTTTGCTATAACCGTCAAAAACAGTCAAAAATTCCTTCTATCTCTCCCTGTCCATTTATACACAGACACATCATATGTCATTTGACTGATTTTAACTGATAAGACTACTGTATCAAGAATGCATCTTTGCATAGGAGGTTTAAGGAATTTCGAAGACTTTTTTTACTTACTCTGAACAGCGTGATGTACTTGGTTTCTCCTCTGTCTATGAGGTCATTGTGGATGCGGTCCAGCTCCGTCTCTTTCTCTTCCACCTTCATCACCTCAATCTCTGACTTGAGCTCGTTCAACTGCAGCTGCAGATGCCTACTCTTCTCCAAATAGTCCACTCTGGGCAAAGACGAGGGGCAGCAAGGAAAGGCCGATTTAGATTTGGAAGGGAAATTTGGAAGGTTCTTTAAAGAAGTCCCAAGGAGAATGAAAGTACAAGTTCTCATTTATCTGTTGCTGGCAAAAATTAAAAAGCAGTTTTGTTGCATCTACAGACTGCCTTGGAAAAAGTATGACAAATATCTGGTTTATTACGGCTGAGTTCGGGCGGCTTGTTCCTGTATGTTCACGAACAGCTCAATTTGTTGTTCGTGGGTCAGCCGCTCGAATGCCGGGAACAAACAACTGGTTATCGCTGGTAGTTAGTGACAAGCAACATGCAAAATGGCGGCATCCATGTACGTTATTCAAGAGTTAATGTTTGGATGGGCTGAATTCATTTCTATATAAACAGGAACATTCATTTCTGTGTTACGGAAAATAATAATGTTAATTTTGCATTGTTTATGGCTTTGGAAGCCATCTCTCTACTCTTTGCAGCTGTTCAAAAATCAAAATCTCACGAGTTTTTCTGTGTGTTCCTGTAAAACCATGATGAGGAGGTGGTGTGTGATCCTGTTCCGTGAACAGTGTTCTTGAGTCATGTTCCCACCGTTCGAGTGCGAGAACAAGAAACCCCTGTCAAGAACAGGCTGCCCGAACTTGACCTTTATTTCAGAGTGTAAAGAACAGTAGCACAGTGCTAGGCATATTACAGGGAATTGTAGGGTGATAAAAGTTGTACTTGTGACCTCAGGCTTTTTAAAGCACTAATCCTGGCTCAAGTGCCCCCCACACTGGGGTTGGGTCAGGTCAAAGAAGGGAACAGCAGATGATGTTAAAACAACCTCTCTTTTTCAATTTCTTTGGAAAGTTTCTCCACGTCGCCATCTGTCATCAGTTCAAAGGAGTGGGTCTCATTGTCCACCCCATTGTCTCCGTCAAGGTGCAACCTCTCCAGCTCTGAACTAGATATGACCTGCGCCGATGACAACTTATGGAAGAAATAAAAAACACAGAAAGAACAAAAGTTGATTCCAAGATTAATGTGATGGCAATAGGCAAGTACTGTAGAGTCCAGTCAAAATACCACCTGCCACAAGGTTTCTATGAGATTGGCCAACAATGCAGTGGGCAGGCCTTTGGTTAACTCGACAGTGAGGTATACTTTTATGTAAAAATAACCCTAGAGTTCTTTATCAGTTGGCAATACAGGTCACCGCCTCTGCCATGTACTAATGTCTTCATCATGCAGATTCAGCATCAGGTGTTGGATCAGTATTTTTTGCCATTTATCAAGGCTTTGAAGGCCTGCCTATTACCTTAATACTGCACAGTGTTTGCGTGTGTAGCAGCAGAATAAAATCAAAACTACTCCAAGTCCACCAAAACCCCATACCTAGCTTTACTGTACAGTGGAACGCCGCCATACCGAACACCGCTATACCGCACGACTGCTGTACCAAACATTTAGCGTGGACCTCGTCTTGTTTGTTATAGCGGCCTTCCACTGTATTTAAAATGGAACCAGCATTGCACAGTCCAGCAGCAACCTGCAGTTTGATTTGGGTTATGTTTTTTACTTGTGTACCATTTGTGTACTGTACACAGTTGAATTTTAAAAAGTTTGGGAACCTCCCTGGCCTATAAATGCCAAAGCAGCACTAAGTGAAATACTTGATTTTGGAGTAACTTGGGTTGAGTTATAGCTATGTAATACTTTCTAGGTTGTCTCATCACAGAACTCTGCAGGAAGACAGTATTTCACGCCAAGTGGGCCTCGACTTCAAAAAGCTGCAGAGCACCAGCCACACCAAACTGTAACATTAATACTGCACAACATTTGGGACAGTACCCTTCTTTTGCTTGGCTAATTGCTTGCTTGTAGAGTAATTGGAAGTTGTGAATAAGAAGCCTTTACTACAGTGGCACAACGCTCTTTCACTGGTGGTAATGCGTGCGCTACATGCCTTTTCGTCCAATGAGGAGCTGTTAAAATTGCCAAACATATGCACCCATCAAGCTTAAGAATGCAAATGCGAGTCTGGTGCCACGGCAGCTTTGGCATCTCCTCCGCCTATAAATCCACTAAATCTGCTCTAGTTACTCACGTCCAGTAACGGCAGCTTGGTGACTTGGATGAGTTTCTCCTTGGCACTCTTCTCTGCCTCTCTGGCTCGAACAAGCTGCTCCTTTAATCTCTCTGCTTCTATAGCCCTAGAGAAACAACAAAAAATATTAAACCTTCAATCACATGCTTTATATATTGGGGCATGACGATTCCATCCACAATGTGAGGAAACACATTTACAAGTTTAGGTGCTAAAGGACTTTTCAAGGGGTCAACACTGATTAGCCGAGCTGCATTCCCGTGGCAAGTTAAACAATTCCCAACAAAAAGCATGGGTCATATTTTACTTTCACTGTCCAGTACCAACTAAAGAAATGTTGACGGGGATTGGATGAATCTTAAATTCTTCCAAATTTGTGATTCCAGAAACAGGTTTTAAAAAACCCTTAAGTGTTTGAGACAATAATTGAATAAGTAAAGTTGGAATGTTGAGCCAAATAATACTGTAGTGTGTTTTCGGGCTCAAAAGGGCCGACAATAATAACGTGACAAGGACATAAAATATATCAGCTTCTTGGTTGAAGTATGCGCTGCTGTTTATCAACAATGGACAAAAATGAAGGTTTCTGACCTCAGAAGCTGGGGGTTCTCGCCAATAGCACCGTGCATGTCCACTCGCTCCTAGATATGTACGGCAACTGCCAGCATGTGTGGCACGCCAATTTCCCGCTAGCACGCGCTGGCCTTGCTGACCCCAACCTCCGCAACATTGTATATCAATTAACACATCATCCTAAAAACTCTACAATATGCTCATTTCTTGTTAGATCAAGACAAATCGCACAAAAGTTAGGTAAGGATTCAGCAAAGTAAAGAAAACAGTGACAGTATGTCTACCTTCTGTCGGACTCCTCAACTAATCTCGATGCAAACATTTCGGCATCACGTTTTTTAATCTCCATCACTCTTCTTTCTTCTTCTGTCTGCAGATGAGGCAAACAAACAGCGTATGAGAATATTTTCAGCAAAATTCGTACTTTCTTTCCTTATAGTAGCCAGTGTTGTGTACCCAACTTGGCCATAAGGACAACTGACCAAAGCTTTCTATGTGGCGCACTCTGACTGGGGACAAAAGGTCACTTGGCTGTTATTTTATTAAAATCTACAAAATGCTTCTTTTCCCAGTCTTGACCCAATGGATGTCAAATTAGGTTGTTTACGTCAGTAGACCAGGCATCAAATGAGGTGTTCACAGAATTTGGCCAGTGGTCACTTTATGCTCGCTAGTGGTCATTTTCTTCGAAAACACAAAACGCTTGTCCCACAGTCTTCAAAACCTTCAACGTTACCTTGATAGCCTGGAGCCTGATGCGTTGTATCTCAGTCTCAGCTTGGTTAGCCTTCTGGGCCAGCAACATGGCTTCTTCCTCAGCAACCTGTGCTTTCTCAGCAAGAAGTTCTGCTGTCTCCTCCGACCTCATCTGAAAAATAACAAATTTACGTGACCTGTAAGTATTAATCTCATTCAGAAACATAAATCTTTGGTTTGTTTTGTACTCATAATTTCACCTACCCTATCGAAGACGTCATTACAGGAGCGAGAATGCTTCCATAATAGTGGAGGTAATTGTTGTCAGACTAATTCACCCATGTTGCACAGTAGTCAATTTGGGTAGTTTTTCTTTCTTTTTTTTTCTTTTCTCAAAAGCATGTAAGAAATTCCTTTTCTAACCCTGGCAGTGACCACTGATAATCAACCTGGGCCCACTTTCATGGGGCTGCTTACCACAGAATTCTGCGCATATGATTTCCATCTGCGCTAACCACACTAGCTTATTTTTCGCTTGCGGTAAGGAGAGCCATGAAATTGGGCCCAGAACAGTGATACAGTAAGTTCAACTGACAGTGCCCTGTTCTGCTCATAAGGAAATATGTCCAAGTGACTATCCAGGGCAATTTACTGAAATGAGTAGATAATCAAACGCTGTGGCTGTATCTTTCAATTCATGTGAATCGTATCTCATTTTTCACATTGAGCGAGTGAAAAAATCCCTGGTCATAGCATAAAGTTCACCTTCACATCCCCCAAATTTGCGGCAGTCAATGGGTGGACTACCAAAGCACTGCTGGGGTTTAACTCTTTTGCCGGGGTGAGGTAGGCATGGGGAAAAACAGAGGTTGACTCACAAGAGACTGAGTAACAAACACAACGGCATCTCACCAGGGCATCATGGGCAAGTCTTGCCTCATCCCTGAAGTGCACCAGCTGTTTCTCCATGTCCTCCTTGTCCCGCTCTGCTTGCTCTCTCAATTCCCTCTCCCTCATCAATTTGTGTCTCTCAATCTAAGCCAATCACAATGACAAACGCTTTATCACAGAGAAATCCTTTCACAAACTTACTGATTCATAGCTTCCTGTGGTTGATCAAATCCTTTAGGAATAATTGCTTTGAGAGAAAACCCTATCCAACAATTTCCAGTTGCCGTTCAAAATGCCACACCCATTTTCATTTGTAGAAACAGAACTCGGATACTGAGAAAATGTAAACTCTTCCCAAACTGACAAACCCAGACATACTGCACGCATTTTACTAAGATATTTGCTGAACACTTTTTTCTGCTTTGCAGGTCAACAATTTGGGCTGAGGTGGTATTCCTAAAGTATGTTCCAAGCATGCTGAGTTTTGTGGCATTCCCAACTGAATGAAAAGATGGATCAGTTACATGTCTCTTGGCTTTCTCCTCCTTGGCCTGTGCTTTCATCTGCTGCACCTCCATGGTATCCATCCGCCGTCGCTGCATGAACAGCTCATGGTTCCCCACACACAGATCCAGTATCTAATCACAAAAATATCACAAGTGATACATCAAGCAAACCAGGAAGAAACTTACTAACTGTGATTCAAATAGACTGTGCCTCTGTGAGCAGTCAAGAAAAATCATCAGCTGCTGGCTTTTGCTAAATTATGATTTTCCCCTTTTGGCTTAGTGACATGTCTACGGAATAAAACGCACTGCACAAATTTTTTGATGTTTTTCTACTTGTGCAGTTCCGAGCCAAAACATTTGTACATTTGTAATTTGGTATGATGCTTACGCACACCTGACGTCAGTCCCCTTTCCAAGTCTTATCAAGTGTTCTGCAACTTTTGAAACAAGGCAAGTAAACTCACCAATTTATTGAGTCTAAGCCGAGGAGAAATAAAACAGAAGTCGGGCGATTTCTTCTCAATGGGCTTTATTGTGAACTGCAAGAGAAAAGGTATCAAATTATGAGCTGTGAAATATGTCAAGAAGTTCTTCGTTAAAGTTCTGAATGTACGTGCTTCAACTACGTGTTCTTGAACAGTGCACCATTTCTTACCTTCTTGTCTTTGTAGGACACATTTCTTATCTCGCTCCAGGGGAATGATATCTTAGGGCTCAGCTTGTTGTCTATCTCGTACACATTCAGCCCCATGGCATCTACACCCAGATACAAGTTGGTTCCCTTTTCATTCTAAACGAGAAAATAGTTTTCATAACTACTTATTTAAAACAAAGTTCAGAGCAAATTTCAGATGGAAGTATTACACTTCATATCTGCACCAATTTCAATGAGGTTAAGATAAAATATCAACTTGCCTTAATCTCAAAATAGTTGACCCCGTACATTTCTAGATCTTGTGCAATTTTCAGATATTCTATCTCCGCTTCATCTCTGTCAAAACAAAAGCAGAAACAAGTAAAAAAAAGTACCGGTAAGAACATTGGAAGAATGATATTTCATACGCAACAAACGGAGCTATTTTTGCTTTAGTTGCATACAATATACTTTTTATCCCTATTCCCACCCCTGTGCATCAAAGTCACCCTCAAAGTCACAATAGCCTCATTCACAAGTTTATTAATTACTACTATCACCGGTTTCCTTGTTTTGCTCCTGTATTTACCTCATGAGTCCTTGGTGCTCGGCATACCATGCAGTAATTCTCTCCTCCCACATTTCAGCTGTCATATCAAACTGTTCTACCACTCGCTGTGGCAGGAGTTCTTCGTTGGCTAGAAATCCTGGCTGGTGTACGTTCTGCTCGTAGTCACCATACTGCATTGAACACAAAACAAGACAGTGGCATTGCTCTACTGTAAGCTTAATTCAATGATAAATTCTACCATCCTTTCAGACACTGAGCCAAATGACAAAATTTGGTTGTTTCTTGGTTTCTGTGAATGTGAGTAAACAGAAATGTGTTTCATGCAGATTCACCTCAATCAAGTTTCTCCAGTAACTATGAGGAAATCAAATTATCTCGTCAAATTTGAGAGAGCTATGAACCTGCCTTAAATTGATTAAGACTACATGTATTGTACGAGTTGGAGTGCATTCAAAAACAGAGGTTCCTTTAGAAGCGAACATGTGTGCCAGAGAGGTCAACTGGTGTGGCCTGGCCGCCCAGTGTTGAGGGAAAATTTCAACTGTTGGGAAATTCACGACCAAGCTATTATTTGTCCCCATAATAACTGTTTGACATGTGTGTGGTCCCTACAACTGCAGTGGCAGTATGTGTGGTCTTGTGTAACAAATGTAACTTGCATCTGTGTGAAACCTGTACACGAAATTGCCATTTTAAACCTAGCTTTTCAAATAACTGTAGTGATGGATCATATGATGCCCCATTGCCAAATCTATTCATATACACTCATGTTCAATTTTTGCATGCAAAAAGCGTTCAATTTCACAAACCCCTCAAATCACCAAGTAATGAAGGTGTCTGACCGGAATCCCACCCAGGAGAAGAATTTACTGTGGCATAAATCTGAAAACCTGACTATAAAAATCTATGCAAAGTTTAACATCAATCTGTTCATGCATGTCGATGACACAGGACTCTTAGCACATCAGTCTGCATACCACGCTCCCTGAAACTCGATCACTCTAGACTATTACTGTAGCGAATTAAAGCTGTAAAACCATTGCTCCTTTTCATGAGTCAATTAAACTGACATTTATAACTTAACAGGACAAAATACTACTAAGGCTCAAACTAGTCTATGCTGTGAAGCCATTTTTTCGATGTGTTGAACACTGCCTACATACTGTGGAGGTTACTGCCATTACAGTGACGTTATGAATTCTTATACTTACATTTAAGGCAACTACATGTTTGCCTAAATAAAGGAAAACACACCATGTTTCATGTATTGGTGTTTAAGATATGACAGTAATTTTGATGAACCTGGTTTTCATTTCCAAACAAATCTAACCTTAGCTTGCACAGCATACGAAGCTAGGAGTACGGAAGCCTCTGGCGGACAATAAATCTCCTCGTTCAGGATCTGCTGCTTGACCTGCAGGAAGAAGAGGTGCTGGGTGATCTCTTGGATGAGCTCCTCGCTGACCTCTTCTGGGTAGAACTTGGCAGCAAAGAGGAAGGGCATGGGGGAAGTCTTGGGCACACCCTGCTCCTGGACCTGTGGGTGGGGTGACAATGGGGGAGTGACTCAACAGCGTCATGTGTGTGTCAGCCTTCATTTTACAGCCTTTGATCACAAATTTCACTTTTGAAGTTCGCATATTAAAAGAAGTTGACGGAAGTGCAAAAATTTCCATGCTAAATTTGCTTGGGCTGTGACAAGTACCAAAATACGCAATACCTGACCAAGAATGAAGTGTACGTGATTTGTTTTTCACCAGGTCTTACTACCCAGAATTTGTCCTGGAAAATTCCCTAAACCTTTCTGAGGAGAAAGCACACTGCACAAGCACTCTGATTAGAAATTGAAAGACTGTTTTTGAGTCTGCTGTTTTTTCTTTCAAAACACTCTAAGATTCATTTAACTTCACAGGTAGTAACCAGCAACATAATGTCAGGCACTTTGCAGGGGAATTAAACCAAGGAAAAAGCGAACACGTTTCCAGTTTCACTAGTAATCACAGATCTGGGAACACCAGACCTTAAGTCAAATGTGTACCCATGAATGCACAACCCTTGAAGTCAGTTTTCAATATTTACATGTAAGTTAACCCTCCTTAAGCTGTAACAGTCAAAAATAGTCCAAACTTCCTTCCACTTCCCCTGTACAGTACATAGACATATCACGTCATTTGACTAATTTTAACTGATAGGACAACTGTGTTGAGAATGCATCTTTGCAAGGGAAGGTTTTAATGGAGTACTCAATTTTACTATTCCGTAATGGCTTTTTCCCAGTCAGCTGAGCTATTTAACCACTCCCTACATTGAACTTTAAGCCGGGTTATTGGTTCTGTGAGCTCAAACGTTCACCAGCAGAAGACACAACAAAGTGCAGTGCAGTAACACTATGTCATGATAGCGATAGAATTTGATCTCTCACAAGGTCAAATTTCAACATGCGCAATTTTAAGATAAAATGTTTTTAACTGGCAATGATCACTTTTCCCCAAAACAGCCTGAAAGAGTAAGTCCAAATATGTATATGCAAGCATGCACCACACTCTGGTCTGTTTTCCACATTAACTGTTCCTTAAACTTACACGTATGCTAATTAACCCCTTGACAACGGGAGTTTCTTTCCGAAAGCCGACTCCAAGAATTCCAGCCTCGCTTGGCCACGAAGGCCACCTGCCAAACCGCAAATTCTAGGTTTGTGGCCCTGCGTGCTCTGCACGCTGTGAATTACACAGTGAAAAGGCTGATTGTTTAGTGGCATGCGGCTCTACTCACGCTTCCACATTCCCATTGCCTCTTTTCAAAGTGGGGATTATTGTGAAGCTGGTGATTATGATGCAAATTCGGTCTTTTCATTTCTCGGCTACACACAAAGGCCAATCACCATATATACAAGAGCCAGGGCCTGCCTTCTTTCACTGTGTTCGCTCGAGCGTGGGCCGAGAATAATGGCTGAAAAGCGGGCTGAGGATCTCAATTTTTACAGCAGCTCTAGCCGCGCGAAGGGGTTAACTGCCAAAGCCGAGTCATTTCTGCTGCACTTCACAGTTCAATCAAAAAGCATGGGAAAATAGACCTCTATTCATGTATGCCAATTCATATCATTCACTGGCATTCAAATCATGTCTTCAGTACTACAAATAATCATATCAAGTTCAAGTGCAATTCCAAGATTTAACAAGCCAGTTTTCAAGTGCCTTTTCTTCCAGCTGCATGCGCATGTATTGTTTTCTGACCAGACCTAACCTTTGGTCCAAGATCCTTCAAAATCTAAAAGACTGGTTGGAGGGAATTTTACAGGATTGAGGAAGATTCATCTTGGCCACTATTTCAGATGTTTTTGTTTTCTCTGGCCTTATTTCTCTTCTAAATCCTGGTCTACTAAACCCTTACTGTCCTCCCAAATCCTCTGATCAGTGGTTTTGAAGAATTGAGGCTGTACCGCAAAAACGTGCAGCTGACTGTGTCATGCATAAATTCAAGCCTAGATTATGCTCCACATCATCTGCACTAGTCCACGATATCATTCAGTCACTGAGGAACTGAGGATGTAAGACCGAGGCTGTACCTTGAGGTGACTGGAGGTTTTTGAAGGACACAGGATGCACCCCAGCTATAAGGGCAGGGGCAGTTAGGAATAATGAATAAAATCTTGAGATATTTTTCCACTTTTTTGGGGGGGGGAGTATTTGAGTCTTTTTTTGCCACTTACTTTCTTGTCCATCTTCAGCCAGCTAATGTAGCCTTTGTGATCAATGAATCTGAGCCCAAAGTACCAAGTCTCTCGCAGGCCAATCGTCCTGCACACCATGTCAAAGAGCTGTCTCCCTGTGGCTTTCCACTGTCCAGTCAAAGGAAGATAAATTCAGCCAAATCAATATAAATGTTGCTCTTGTAGCACAGCAATTCTCTTTCCATTTTTGTCGAACAATTAAAGGGCCTATGACATGAATTTTTCTTGAGCAAATATTTTGTGCAACTCTCCACTCCTCTTTACAGCGTGAAAACTACTCAAAATATTGTTGGGTTAATCTTAATGAAGATGCATTATTTTAACATTTAAAATTCTCCATGCTTTTCCAAATGATTGAGGGCACTATAGTTTTACTGTGATTTGATGATTTCAGGAAGACACTGATAATTCATGGTAGGGTCACTGTTCAGATTGTGAAACAATACTGTACTCGGTCATGGATTCTGGAGTGAAGCAACAATGAATCGCCAAAGAAGGGAAATTTAAGACAGCGAAACAGGGGTGTTAGTGGCTACTTAGAGACGACCTTCAAATTGCTCATAAAAATTTAAAATGACATTAGAAATGTAACTGAAAAGGACACATTTTCAAAGGGGGAGGTGGGTCTTTCTTTTAAAGAGAACCTATTTTTGACTCTTGTGACTCTTCTGCTGGTTCTTTTGTTCTTAAACTTTTTAAGGAGATTTTCAAAATACATGTAGGCTATGCATAAAACACTAACAGGTTTCAAACTTGCAGTATGTTGGAAATAATAGTCAATCAAAACACTTTGCAAATTTTACCCCACACTGCCCCAGAAGTCTCAAAAACAAACATAACCAGGCAAGTAACTTGAAGCAGCAGGAGAGACTGCTTTTTTACCAAGCCTCATGTGGCACAAACACCTTTGGATAAATGGGACTTCAGACTTAGAGAGTTTCGGCTTATTTCCTATGTAAACTTAAACAAGCACCTACTCATTCTATCCCTGCGGCCTTCTTTTAGCACCTCCATGGTTCTAGAGAGGGAGAACCATGACGACAATGACTAAATGACAGTAAATAATCACAGAACTCACGTCTATGCCGAACTCAAGCTCAGCATCCATGGTAGTCACGCGGACGGTGAACGTCTTCGGATTTCTTCGTAGCATGTTGGTGATGACCGTGCGGCTGGCGGTGCTTCCGCCGCACGCAGAGCAGCCAACACGGTAGCAAATTTACTTCCTTGTCCGCTCTCGTTAGCTCAAAAAAGAACAGCGTCTGCAAAATTTTTTGGTTAAAACCGTTCTTAGATACTAACAAACAGTCATATTAAGGGGTAACATCGCGGCTGAAGTCAACATGTACTTTCAAGGTTGGGAGGAATTGTGCAAAGCATCCCAAACAGTGAGTAATTTGGCAAAAATGCGTTTTGTCTGGGCCTACCCGCCCGCTGGGAGCTGTGGCGTTGCGAGTGCATTATTACATTCGTATATCGTTGGGAGTCCGAGTTTAGACTCACACCACAGATCAATGACATTTTATCGGTACCATGCTATTTTCTCATGGCGCGCGGGAGGCACTAATTGCAGGGATTGCTCCAAGCATTTCCCCCCAAAGGCTCTTGTAGGCTACCCCTGCGGCTGGTTTGATTGATGATTATGGGGTATTCGCGATCAGACTACGCATTTGCTATTCCAAAAATGCGGTGATGTGGTTGCAGGGGACGTCAGTGGCAGACCAGGGAAGAGCAGTCGAGATTCTGTCAGGTTTCCCTGGCACGCAAGCCTCGTCCCAAACATTGAAAATTCGACTCATCGCCAAGCGCAGCGTCAGTGTCATTTCTGTACCGGTTCATGGGTGACATTTTAGATCCGGTGCGACTATCAGTTTACGCGCTGTCAGGTTGCCAGATGTTGGAATGTGTGGTTGCTGCTTGCTATTGCACTAGCTGCATTTTTGCACTCCTCAATGAAGAATAAAGCAGGGCAGAACACGGTGTCATTTTCTGAGCATATCCCATTTGCCCTCACATGCTCCCTATTAGTTGAATATGATTGCACACAGAGCATGGACCCAGTAATTCGACGTCTCTCTCATTCTTTAAATATAAACATCTGAAAAAGCCAAACCAGGACACCAAATAGTTCAAATACATCCTCTAATATGACACAATCCTGAAACTCACGTGACAATCTTCATTTAGACAGCCACTTGTGTTATGGATCAAGTGCTAGTCCACCGCATCTCATAGGTATTCAAAATTTCTTCGAAAGGAAAGGGCACAGGGCTAAAGATATTTCAGAATAACTTAGTCAATTCTACTAGAATTGCCATGAAAAATCTTCTCAAAAGTTTATTTGGGGTAAGAAAAAACTCTTAAACTGGATTCAAACACAACATGCAACAAAATAATAGCATCCTCCAAGTTAGCCCAACTACATTTACTTATCCTTGTAGGCTGAAGCCCATCTTTATAAATGACAAAATAAGAGACATTATATTGACTTCAAAAGCCATATATACTATAACAAACTCCTGTTGCACTTCAAAGTTCACGACTAAATTGTAGAATCACACGATTTTAATAGAAATTACGGTAATATATTCTTTCTACTGACGATAATCATTACTTTTGAAAATAAAAGCTGCAATTTCAAAGTACAATATCTTTACCTATGCAAGTGATTTTTATAGACTGATACAATTCTTACTATAATTACTAGGGGATGAAAAATGTATGAGGTATTCCACAATTTAGTTTAATCTGTTTCTGCATTCGTTATTTAGCTGTGACAGAGTCAACTGTTGTGTGTATCTTTACACAGTAGTTTGAAACGTACCATCCCCACACAGCCAATACACAAAGACTTTATGCTAATAATGCACACTTGACAACACTGTTCCCTTAACATCAGGAAGTGGCACTAGCAGTAATACAATCAAGTTAACTGTTTGAAAAGTGAAAATAACTATTGCAAAGTAATATGCAGATATACAATTATCTTGCATTATAGACCTGTACATTCCATGGCTGCTTTTTATCGGTTACAGAGCAAAAAATAAAAATTCTGAATGTTTTGCCTATTTCAGGAGAAGAAAGTGTCACTCGGGATTCATCACCCGCCACCAAGCAAGGAAACATGGGTGCAAAGAAACTAACTCCGATGTGAAAAGGCCGCACATTATGTTCAATTCTTGGAACTGATGTGTCCACTTCACAATCCTTGCTCCACTCATGACTGAAAGTGTATCAAGCAAATAATGCACATAGCTATTATTACCATTCCAACATTTAAGGTTTACTGATTATCAGATGTTCATCTCATTAACTACCCATCCCCAGTACAAGTTCATTCCCCAGCTGTTCTTAATCAACATGGTAAGCACTGCATAGTGACCTATGTTCACTCAAGGTTTATGTTCAGAACTTTACACATAGACACTCAAATACATGCCTGTGCACATTTTATTGGCACCCTAGTTGTGGAGACGACATACATTACAAAGGATAATGGGGACAGATTCGTCATGGGGGCGAATTCTTTAGGTACACATTCAGGCACTGAGTGAAGGGTTACTAAACAACGCCTAGGACACACTTGGCACATTTAGAGAAAAACAAGGAATAAGGATTTTTTTCTGTATACCTTGGAGATTATTTCTTATTTATAGTTAGAAGTTATTTCTCTTTGTACAAAAATGTCATGGTAAATGAAAATATAACCCTAACACTCCTCAATCCTTCTAGTTCAATATGATTTTGCATACACCCTTAAATAGGGATAAGATTGATTAAAAAAAACCAGTGCACAAGGAGACAGGAACCTTTGACTCTTGGTCAAAAAATCCTACTATCTCTACTACTCTCTTCACTTAAATCTCTTCGCTGATTCTCAGATCCCTGTCTACTTTAACTGGTATCTGCCGAGCCGCCGAGACCTCCCAGCATGCCTTGGGCAGTGTTGAACAGATTGATGGGAGCATTTCCGTCCGTGATCAGGGTGGACTTCAGTCCCAGACTCTGCAGGAGTTTCACCTGGGAAGAAATGTGAGGCGTGTCAAGTCATCAGTTAGTTACTCACCAAGGAAATGTGGTATGGACAAGACCAAAGAAATTGCCGGCACAATGATTCAGAGCCATGAACCTTTTTCCTGTTCACTAGTAACAGTTTACCCGTAACCCGTCTCATTACAAATTTCTCTGAATTCTCCACAGTGCAAAATACCAACAATGAGTTCCTGTCTGTCAGCTTTTTAAGGGGTATCAAACACCCATACAAAGGCCTCTGCCTTCTAAAGTATTGCATAATCCACCAAAACCGTCCAATGGACTTTGGAGGATATGGGAGGAATGACAACTCCTACAATTCATGCAATGATACACAGAGGTGGTATACATTCATTTTGTACTTTCTTAACTAGAAACAATTCCTTGTATTTCTTGAAGTTCTGAAGGCAAAAATAAGTGAAGTATAAAAATGGTTCCACAACATCCCCTCAATGTTTGGTTGCCCACTTTTTGGGTATTTCTGCCAAGCAAGACATGAGAAAGCAACCAATGAGGTAGACTTTTAATGCCACCTACCTGCATCTCTGGTCCTGACACGGCGATAGCACGAATGGTGTCCGAACCAATGGAGACAACCATCTTGTTGAACTTCCCAGACTCAATCTCCGCCATCTCCCGAGCCTTGGTAACTTCCATGTCATTCTGCTCGGTGATATACTTGAGCTCTGCCTCACGGGCCTGGGTCAGACGCTCCAGCTCTGATTCCTGGATGGGGGAGAAATATGCAGAGAGATGAGATTAGATAAGCCCTAGACCACCAGGGTACGTAGGCTAGAAAGCCAGCTGAACACAGAAATCTGCTCAGTGCAGCAACATCACCTACCACCCATTACAGCATCCAATAAACACACTAATCTCTGATTGATTGGCATCTGTCTCAGAACTGATGGTCATACTACTGCCCTGGACTATCCAATGCATCAAGGTCCTAAAGAGCTTGACAGGTCCATCACTGCTACTTGCAAGAAGCATGGCACGTGTTAAATAAGTGTTCAGAAACAGTTGACATATACCAAAAGGGACACAAAGCTCTTTTCACTGAAGGCAGTCTAGAAATGTGGAATGGAAGAATATGTGTGAGTCTAAGCAGAAACGTGCTTTAACAGGAAAGTCCATTCCTACAGTGAGGGGGCGAGGCGACTGTCCCATCTACCTCTGAAAATGATTCCAAATCTAAGAAGTGTCCTCTAACTTCGAAAGCCCTCTCCTTAATGGAAATTTAAGTGAACAGACATAACAAATACTCACGGCTTCGATCTTGGCAGCCTCTGCCTTCAGCTTGGCCTGCTCCACTGCAGCTTCACCCTCGATGCGGGCCGCCTCGGCACGGCTCTGGGCTTCCGCCTTGGCCTGCCCGGTGCTCTCCACAGCTGCGCTGTTGGCCTGCAGGAGGAGCAGCTCCTTGCGAGCCTTCTCTGCCTCCGCCTCGTCCAAGATCTTTTGGCGCTCCAACCGGCCCTTGGCCTCCTGCTCCAAACGTTCAGCTTCATGTCTGAAATGAGAAGATTGAAGGGACGAAATTAGGCTTGGGCTTCTAAGATACTGTGCAACCAGACTTCACTCGGTACTTCCACAGATTTCTGAGAAATGCACTGCTTGGCTCTGGTAGAATTGGGGTGAACTTTAACTTGCTTCTGGCAAGTACTAACAACTCTACAAACTCAGACTTTACCACAGGCGGGCTTGTTCAAATCCTATATTTCATATGTATTTTCGATACTATTTAAATAAATACAGAAATTCGTTTTGTTGTTGAACCGCACTGTTTCTACAATTACTAAGAAATAAAAGAAAAAATTCTGCAGAGGTGGATAATTGGTCACCCATGCTACATGCAGAAATGAGAAATGTAGTTTATGCGAGTCAAACAGGTAGTTTTATCAAACAGGTGTGTCTTCATGTGCATCAAACCTAAAAGGAAAGAAACTGTCCATTTTTAAAATACTACATGTGAGGAATTCATCGCTACTTGGTAAATATCTCTGACCAGCCTGGAGCTTCTAATGAGGAACCAATTTGGAGGAAAAATGTGCCTATATTGGAGCTCTGATTTTCTAAACCTGGTAAGAGTAGTACTGCCCCCCCAAAAAAGTAGGGAGCAATCCCTGGAATTTACTTGGCTGCAGCCTCCTGGGAGTTGGTGGTGATCTCGATGGCCAGCTGAACCGACTTCTGCAGGGCATCTCGGGTCCGCTGGTCCACAGGCTCCACGGACTGGATATCAATGCTGGTGATGACCATGTTGTTCTGGGGGAAGCGGAAGCTCTCCTTCACCTTCAGGTTCTCGTCAAGGCCAAAGACGGAGGCACGGATGATCTTGGCCGAGTTCTGTGCAAAAAAAAAAAGAAAGTGTGAGAAAACACAGTTGACGTCTCATGACCTTAGCAATGACCTGTGATCCTTGCCACTCAAAAAGTAGTTTAGTATCTGGCTGGCAAAGGGTTTGATTTTGTTAACTCATTTTGCTGCAGGAATTGTATTGATCTGAATTCCAGTAAAACTGACCGTAAGAATTTCACAGAATGCAAATCTTTTCAGGCTGTATGGGCATGAACTATGAAAAAGTATCACAGAAGCCAAATCTTTGCTATTCTTATTTGAAGCCAAGTGCTCCGTTAGAAATTCCAGTAAGCATGGCCTGTGTCTATTCTGTGCATATGTCAATCACCATTATCTTCACATGGTTTGCCTTGTTATTTGATACCTGCAGTTGTGACAATTCCAAATGTTTCCACCTTATACTGAAGCCAACTACTTTGCTTACACAGAGCTACTGAGAAAGCTTCCCTCCCATTTTGTCTTCAATTTCTGTTCGATCAAAAGAGATGGAGAGAGAAGTTCCCTGCCAGTTTACCTTGTGGAAGTCATCAAAGGCGACTCCCGCCACTGCCCCTCGGATGCGGGAAGCGATGGCTTTGCAGGCATCACCAATGAAGTCGGGAACACTGAAGAGCTTTGCGGCATCTGCTACACTGCTCTGCTTGTTGACGTCCAGGTGCCTAAATGAAAAAAATCATCCACAGCTGACTTAGTGTGTCTTACTGCTGAAGTACTATATTTTGATCAGTACAAGTGTCCCATTATCAAAATAGTTCCATCTACTTTTGATGAGCTTGCCACCACTACAGCAGTTTTTTACTCGGAACAGTTGTTGGTCCTTGCAAAGTACTAAAACCATTCAAACTGTGTCTGTCTGCACTGCAGGAAGGGAAGGTTGTGATGAAGCTCCTTTAGTGGCTCTAGACGCCTACAACTCATTCTGGTAGGTTGAATTGTGACAGGTCAAATCAAAAGCCTACCAGTTGTATGACAGCTGAAGCTGCAGCCGGGCGTGGTCGGAGGTCTCAATGGTGATGATATCGGTGCAGAAGTCGGGACCGAGTAGGAGGCACAGGGACTTGATGACGTTGGGCCGTTTGGGCTTGCCTCCGGACAGACTCAACTGCGTGAACTGCTCATCGGGGCCCAGCATGACCAGCTCGGGACCAAACACAACCCTGAAAGATAATTCAAATGTAAAGACATGATGCAATGTTAATGTGTAAACTCAAGATAAAATTAAACGCACAAAGTACAAAGTAACAATTTGTAACAGCATCGTGTGATGCAATAATCACTTCTCGAAATCAGCTATGCAAGGGGTCAACTGACTACCTATTTTACTGTATTTTTAACCTAATCAAGGTTTTACAGCTTCTTGGTATTAGGCATAAATGTTGAGCTAGTCTCAATTGTTCTTCATTGGACAATCTCTTGAATTACCATGGGCTCTTCAAACCAAAAACAAAAGGGCCTTTTCCTTGCTTCTTGCATCCAAGTATTGGAACATGCAAATTGATGACCAGCAATTTTCAAAAATACAAACAGTGCACTGCACTGCACGGGTCAAGATGAAGTACAAATTGTTTATGTTTATGAGATGCTTAGGTCACAGTTGCTGCTGAAATTGAACTGCGTCTGAGCATATTGTTGATCGTTAGCAAAGCTGAAATTCCCATGAACCTCCTTACCTTGCCTCCTTCTCTTTGTAGTCGTAGATCTGCACGGCAGCATTGTGGGGCACGCGGAAGGTCACCACTCGAGTCTTCTCCCTGGACTTGTCCCTGCCGCCGCCCGAGCTGCGGTCACCCCGGTCGGCCAGGGGGTCCTTCATGCTGATCAGCAGGCCCTCCACAGCAGGTGGCAACTCCTTCTCCCAAAGCTCCTCGTCCTGGTTCAGCATGTAGGTTATGCCAGTGATGGCACGCACCTAAAAGACCACAGAGGATGAAAAATGGACCATGTCACTCCTTTGCCATTGTTTTGCATTAATTTGCGGCTTATCCAAGACAATTTATAAGTCAAGCCAGTGCCACCAATAATGCAATTAGACATTATTGAACATTAGCCCCAACACCCTACCACTCATGTAAGTTTAACAAGACCAAACTCTGGGGAATTTGACCCCAAAAGGTTTCCCAATAAAGTCAGTTCACCTTCACATTTCCTTGGAGCATGAAGCAGCCTTTGTGCTATTCTCTCGTTAGATTCTCACCTTTCCAGTCTTGGTGTCCCTGACATAGATACCCTCGTTCTCATCCAGGGGGATGGCCTTACGCCGGTCCATGACCTCTACCTCCACTGGAGGGACGTACTCCTTGGGGCCCCGGATCATCCACTTGTCACCCGGCTTGCGATCCACATCCTGAGTAGCGGAAACAAAAACAACACAAATTAAAACTACACCATTTTTTTAGTAATATTGAAAAGGAGAGGAATTTTCTGTTTATTTCTAATAACTTAAGCATTCCTAATCATCACCCCTCCATGCCTCCACTCACCTGCCAAAATTGATCAATCTCTACATTAGGAGCCTTGTTTACGGATATTCGAAAGAGTGTGAACAGATCTTTTAGGCAACCAAATTTTCAGCGATATGCGTCACTTACTGAAGTCATGAAGTGTGAGATTAATCTCCGATACAGACAACCTGTTGTTGCAGTATACACTAACTTTGACTGAAAAGTGCCAGTGCTGCCAACAGCGCTAGCCATGGATAGTTTTTAGTTTGCAAGTTTACAATCCACACTTATGTTAGACTCATGTCCAGTGTAAAACTGGACTGTACAAGTGATTACGAGCAATTATCTAATAATCAAATTTACACAACATAAATGCCTCAAAAGCACTTACAGCATCTGTATCAGTGAAAGCCTCCTGAGACCTAAGCACAAGCCCTTCATCCTCACCCAGGACAAAGACATCCTGGATGCCCTTCTCAAGTCGCTCACCAGGACGCAGGAAGAAAGACTTCTCACCCTGTGGATCAAAAAGGAGAAGCATTCTTCTTTTCCTTCTTCATTAAAATTAAAACAGATAATCATGGTGAA